AACCATGTCAAATACAGGTATTTGCAATTTCAGATAGTACAATTCTTTATCTAAATTATGAAAAGCCTAAAGAGTACCAAACTACTAATGGTAATTATCGCTTAATCAATATATAGTTTTCCAACTGCACGCATTTTCACTACCTTATTGCCTTAAAAAAGATTATTCTAGCAACCAAGAACACAAAAATTCCACATTCAGGTCATGAAGACAGCGACAATACCAAATAATCTATATATATATAATTACTAGCTAATAGCATTTAATAAAACATTTAATAAAAATATTTTCACTTTCCCTCCAAAAGGAGTTACATTTTTTTAATTAATTACTCATTAATCTCATATTTAAGAAGGTTTTTTATAGTTAAATTTAATTAGTTAATGACTAAATTAAAAAAATTATTTTAATTAATCCCACATTTATGTTAAGTACAGTATTATCTTAATATCTTATCAGTTTTTCAAAAAAATAGTAACTTTTTTCAATAAATTTTATAAAAATTAGTCAAATGTGCTTATACATATAAATCAGAAAAAAAATTAAATCTTAGATATATAAAAAGAACATCGTTGAAATAACTTGAATTCACAAGGGTAATTCTATACTCATTATCAATTACTTTAAATTTTTTGTTTATAATAAAAAATTAATATTATATTTACTCACTTATATTTAGATGGTATTTTTTTTTATTAAGAAGCAAGGACAATCTCTATCAATCAATAAGAGTCGAGGACAAACAATATAAAGAAGTGTTTCCTATGCTATGACATGATCAATAAGAGTCAAAGACAGTCTCTGTCGCACGTCAGCTTACTACTGAAGAGCTCTGCATTTAGTCATGAGCAATTATACGTGGCACTTTTTAGAGTTACGAGTTAGTGGGGTTTGAAGATTTTGATTTGAGCTGAGGGAGATTTTGACGATAGAAAAACCACGACGTTGTTTTATAAAGAAGTGTTTAAGAATATTTATATTTTTTTTCTTAATTTTTTTCAATGAATTTGTTATGATTTTTACTATTGTTTATAATTTTTATTATTTTTTCATGTATCATATAGTTTTCCGTGCAAATGCACGGGACAAAAACTAGTGTTAACTGAAAGCAGGCTCACCATTCAACTCTTTGTATCTTTCTTTGAAGGCCTTTGCATATCTTTCCACCTCGTCCAATGTCTTCCCCTCCATTTCAGAAGCAATACTCCTGATATCATTTCGACCATACTTTTCACATGCCCTGATGAAGGTGTTAAAATCTCTTCTGCTCCATGTTGAAAACCCCTACATTCCACAGTGGTAACAATACCGATTTTATCCGAGCTCTCTTATTAAACGAACGAGTTTTGAGCTATGCAGAAATTCATGAAATTTACCTCTTCCAGAAGCTGCTCCTTCTCTTCCTGCTCCTCAGCAGTCAATGGGTCTCCGACCTCTGGATACAGAACAATGTCTCAAGACAGTTACAACTTACAACAGAAATGACAGTAAAGTTGGCATTCTCAAAATAAACAGACCGTCTGGTTCTTCCACCTCTATAGTGTCCTTAACTTGATTCCTTTGGTTTGTTTGCTGAAAGTGATCACAACAGGAAAGCATTACCCATCAAGAAAAAGTGGATAAAAAGAAAAAAGAGCTGCAAGAGAAAGCTAGGCACACCCACCATAAGATAGCGCACTTCTTTTTCATAGAGCTCAGTAAGGCGCTGTGTGTTGAAGAACTGGAAATCATGTCTATAAAAGATGTGTTAGAGATGCAAAAATCTTGATTATATGTTAGTATCTCTGTATATGATATAAATTAAAGTAAGTGAACCAAAAATACTCACAACTGCGGCATGCGAGGAATTCGAGGTTCTTTTGGTCGTGCAGGACCACTTTGTCGCATTGTCTGCTTGAAGTACTCGGATTCAGAGTAACTGGAAGAATGAAGAAATTGAAATTAATTCACCCTTACTGACTATATTTGACATGTAAGCATAAGCATTTATCAACAGAAAGAACATACTTGCGTTTCCTTTCTCTTCTTGGTGGTTCAATCCAATTGTCACTGACTATTTTCTTGAAATCAAGCTTATTTTCATCCTTTACCAACAAGGAGAAACTCGAGTTAGAAAAAAATATGAGAAGAAATAAAATAAGTGAGAGATACTCGGCAGCTAGCACATAAGCTTACCTTTTCATCATCAAAATCATACAAGTCGGCACCTGCAGAAAATCCAACAGCCAGATTAGCCTCACTAACAAAAAACCCTCCAGATAAATAAATTAGCACAATAAACATCTAGAATCACGTAAAGAATAAGAAACCTACTGTCATCCATTTTGAATTTAATAGCATCTTCAGTAAATTTCTTCATCTTAGCATCTAGTTCAGCTGTTGCCTCTTCTCCCTTGGCAATTATCCTATCTATATCTTCATCCGTGATTGTGCTATCTTTGGAGCTGAAAACCATTTCAGCACCAAACCTTACCATTTGCAGCAGTTCATCCTTATTAACAGCTGTACAACAAAAAATTGACAAGTCATCAAACTCCGGCAATCCCTAAGTATGCCCATTGGAACAAACCAAGACAATGGAAAAACTCACTCTTCTGCTCAGCTAGCCGCCCTTGTTGGATAACCAAGGCATCAAGAGCAAGCTTTTTATAAGCCCTTTCAATCACTTTTTCCTCAATGGTGTACTGAATAAATTCATAGGAATTCCATGAGCACACTCTGCCTCCCCAAAATTGATGATTAGGTCACTAGTATGACAAAAGACAATGATAACTTAAAAAGACAAACCTCAGTACAAAACCGGAATACTTGTACTTCCTTCTTCTGTCCAATCCTATGAGCTCGATCTTGGGCCTGCAAATCAACTTGTGGGTTCCTGCAATGAAATAAATAAAATAAAATAAAATAAAAAGTGTCATTTTCAACTCTAGAACTTAGCCTTTGACCCATCACTAATAATTAACAATAGAAGCAGCATTTACTTTTACAGATCAAAAAAAAGAAAAACAAAACAAAACAAAACAATAGAAGCAGCAAAGTCTCACCAGTCACTGTCGTAAAGAATGACAACATCAGCAGTGGCAAGGTTGATACCAAGACCTCCAGCTCTGGTTGACAGCAGAAAGACAAACTTCTCACTTCCAGGCTTGTTGAAGGCTTCAATTGAAGCATCACGATCTTCCCCACCAGTATTTCCATCAATTCGACAGTAGTAGTATCCACGGAACATCAAGTAGTCTTCAAGTATGTCCAGTAGCCTTGTCATCTTTTCATGCAACCAAATATAATTTATTATCAATTTATACAAAGTATATTGAGTATGAACAGTTGAAACTAAATCTAAAATATTTGTGTCGGAAAGCAGAAGTCATTCTAGATATGTGTATAATGCAAGCACACTAACCTGTGAAAATATTAAAACTCTGGAATCGCGCTCCTTCAACTTTGGAAGCAACTTGTCAAGAAGAACCATCTTGCCTGCAATAAATAGTCACAGTAGCAATTACTAACAAAAGAGAATTTACGAAACTTATAAAGATGGCAGAGGCAAAATCTCGTCTCATATGTAAGCAAATTTATTCAATTTTTGGCATAATGCGTCAGAAAGACAGTACCAGCATTTTCTATTAGATGTTCTCCAGTGGTATACGGTGGCCCAGGTTCAGCACCTTGAAATAAATATGGATGATTACAACATTTTCGCAGTTGCATGGCTATATTAAGAAGGCGTTTCCGCTCTCCACCAGCATTTACAACCTCAAGATCTTTCTGCAGCAGTGCCCTATAGTATTGCTTTTGCATCTGAGACATGCCAACTTTAAGTATTGTTTCCTTCTTAGGAGGTAAACCTTTCTCAACATCAGACTTCAATCTTCTGAGAAGGAAGGGCCGAAGAACCTAGCAAATCATCAATACCCAAAACCTACAGATTAGAAAGTCAAAATAGGTACTCAAACAAAAGCTGACTCACCTGAGACATCCAAGGGATCTCTACTAACTCTGTTCCATACAATTTTCAAGCCAAAAACATAGCCTTCATGCTAGTTGCACATAACATTATAAGACTAACTGAATATTATCATACACAGATAAAAATTACTGGTGTTACGTTGCACTTTTTCACCATCAGCATTGGACAAGAAATTACATGAGAAAAAAGAAAACTTTGAAAGAAAAATAAAAAGGCTAACAGACTCTAGCTGCTTTGTGATATACAATAGCTTATGACAAGTCAAACAATCTAGACATTCTGTGAACTGTATATATGCGGCATAGTAATTATGATCTGTCACAATATATATTAATAAATAAGGTAAACTCTAATATAACTAAGAACTAGATGGAAAAATAAATGATAATTTCAACATGGTTATTAATTTCAAAAAAAGTTCAATGGTTCAATCAGCAGGTAAAAAGATTCATTTACCATCAAATAATGGCATCATACTTTTACCTGGACAAGTGAATGGAAACTGAACTTAAAATCGCATACCTTGTGAAGCTGCTGGACAACTTCCTGCTGATCATTGTCACCAGAAATTTGGAACCATTCGTCAAAAGTCTCAGCAGAACTAAATATCTCCGGAAGCAAAAAGTTAAGGAGAGCCCAGAGTTCATGAAGATTGTTCTGCAAAAGTAAATTGCACATGATGGACAGAGATCCCAAGTTACAAGCATCATACATTTGTAGATACAAGAAAAGTGAACCAGAGCCCACATAGCAATCACACCCTGCAAATCACCTAAAATTATATGATGACTTGCCAGAGGGAGAAAACCAATACCTGAAGAGGTGTTCCAGTAATTAGAAGCCGATAGTTAGTATTATAAAGCCTCATCGTCTTCGAGAGAAGTGAATTCTCATTCTTAATGCGATGTGCTTCATCAATGATAATATAGCGCCAGCTGAATCGGCGCAATGCAGTCTTCTCTTTGATTGCCATTTCAAAACTAGTAACACAAACATCAAATTTGCCAGCCACTAGCAACTCCTCACGTATATACCTCTGGAGGGTCAAGAATTTGAGGAATTAAGTATATATAGAAGTCCGGGAAAGTAGCATCTAAAATTGGTGATGCAGGCTTACTCTTTCATCAGGATTTCCAAGAAACTTTACAGCACGTAACACCGGACAAAACCTTTTGATTTCGTTCATCCAATTGCCAAGTGTAGACTTTGGGGCAACAACCATGTGAGGACCAGTTATCCCTCGGAACTCATGCAAATAGCCCATCAAGGAGATGGTTTGCAAAGTTTTACCCAGTCCCTAAAAAAATTAAAGAAACAAATAAATAAAATGATGATGATGATGATGATGATGATGATGATGATGATGATGAACGAAAAGGATTGTATAAAGATAAGTTAATTCATACCATTTCATCAGCCAGAATCCCATTAATGCCATTCTCATATAACCGTATCATCCAATTTAAACCAGCAAGCTGATAATCCCTCATCTTTCCTTGAATACCTGTAAGTCAAATTAATGAAATCAAGCGATCCTACTTTGCAAAAAGCATGATATGGCACATAATTTACCAAACTCTATGATAATCCAGCACTTTTTTAAAACAAAGACACAGTAAAATAAATACATTCAGTACAAGATAAACCATGATTATGGAACTCAACACACCGGCACCATTTGTTAAAACTATTGGTCATATTCCAGTATAATCAGCGCAAAATAAAGGAAAAAATAAAAATCATCTTACAAGAAGGTTGCGCCACTAGCCTCGTATTTCCAGTGGCTGAAAGACCATCCTCTTCCTCCTTGAGACACTCCTCATCTTCTTCCTCTTCAGTTAGCTTAGATGCATGGCGGCCCCTGCAAATTAAACCACAGAACCGAGGTTAAATAAACAATTTAGAAAATCCCCCGGTCCCAAGAATCATGAAGCTAACAACCAAATGAACTTAGTGATCCAGTAATGTCATTCAGGACTTGCTTTAAAAAGCTTCACTTTCACCTCCACCAAACAATTTTTTATTATTTTTTGGAAATTGACCAAGAATGCCTCTACTGAAACACCCAATACCAACCAATGGTGAAATTATAAAATAAAGCAACAATAAAGATAAGAGAAAACAGAAGAATTCCTACAGGAAAACCAAACCACTCTCGCTCCAACATATCAGCTGGCCATTGTTACAAGTGCAAGAAAACAAGAAAAAGGGTGGAAAAACATGCAATCTGCAGAACAGATTCAGGAGTATTTGGGGTGGAAAGGAGACAGCCAGAACAAGTGAAAGTAAAGCATATTCAATAATTCTCTTTCATCATTGCGTGCAACAATAGAACTAATGAATCATAATATTCTCACACTAACGTTTTGAAAGTTCACAAACAATTTGGACTTTGGTGGCCTAATAAGTCAGCCTATAATAGAAAAACTCCCTCAGATAACAGCACCTGAGAACAAGTTAAAGGCAATTACTACAACATCTACACAGCTTAATTCTACAAAAATCCCATCACCAGTAATGCACAGCAGACAGTGTATTCAATTACTTATTGATTTCCCAGAAGTGAGCACAACCAGTTATTGATCACGCAACTAAATGTCATATAAGGCAATTCCAGGAGCTCCTGGTAACAAATTTCCAAGCATCCCAGAACAAAGATGAGAAAAACATTTCTTCAGATGCTCTTGAAAAGGGCAGACTAAAAAGATGACGTATGATTGAAAGGGCGGTAACGTTAACATTCTTCAAAGTCCAAGATAATTATGACACCAATGACAAAGAGAGGACATTACTCACTTTCCTTTATCCTTCTTCTGAGAGACAGAGTGATCACCCTTGGCAAAATGTGCAAATAACTCTGTTTGCTGCAAGAGATAGTTCAATCGACCCTTTCCTTTGTTGTTCTGTCAGAAGACATGCGAGATTAATAAAATTTTGTCTCCCGTGTATTACTCAGTACATAGATTATATCCGGAAACAATTTTCATGTTCAGCCTCTCACCATGTCAGCATCTATAGCAGCATTCTGGGCATCTAGTATTTCTTGTATTTTATGTTTCTTCATTCTCTGCATGTCCTTAAGCCTTGCCTTTTCACGCTTTGAGATTTCATTTGCAACAGCATCGTCTTCCTGAACCATGGAAACAACTTTAACATTAACCACTGCATCATTCCTCAAATGTAAACAACTCCAAATCTCAACATACCCAAGCTAGAAAAAACATGGATACAGTAACTTTATCCATTACCACATCTAACCACATAATTTGCTTTCAGCAATCATCCATTTTACGCAAATTAAACAGTCAAGGCAACTGAACCATGCACAAGTGGGAAACAATGAATGCACACATGAGCAATTCCCCAACCTGTCAAACTAAAAAGAGAATACAAAAACATTTTTCTCCCGCCCCATCATGTGCTCAATAAGAAAACATTTAGGACACAATCCATTCATCAGTTCAAATAGTTTTAACTATTAGAGAAACTG